TTAACAACACCTTTCATAGACAACTAGGAAACCAAACATCTCCATATAGTACCTACAGCAATAGGTTGTATTCCCTTGTCAGGTTTTAAGAGCGGCATGTGAGGAGCAGAGGTAACAAATTCTGCTAAACTATCTCCCCCCCAATCCATAGATTAACCACATATGTAATAGCATGCAGGAGGTCGTTGGCTATAGCCGAACCTTCCCCACAAAGGGCATCCAAAATATGTTGAGCTCTCAACCCGTCTCTCCCACACGAGGTACCTTTAGGGAAGGATTTAATTCCCCCAAGGACATTGTCAACATCCACAACAAGGGGAGGTTCTAAAATTATGGTGTTGGGCATGGAAGGTGGTGGCTTGTATGGATGCTTATCCTCCAATGCCTTCGTGGTATTACCACCAAATGGAGCAACCCCCGAAGAACATAAAACTTTCACTGCTGCTGTAAAATGTCTGTCGGCAACCTTACGAATACATTGTCTGACATTGGCGTTGCTCGATGTTCTTCCATCCTGAATGCACTCTTCTTTTTTTCCTTGTTGCTCCAGTCTTGCATTGTTAACTAAGTTTTTAACCAGCTTGGCGATACCCTCTTCAGTCCCCCAAGTGGCTAAAGCACTCAAAATATTACGATGTTGCAAAGACTTCCTATTGCCAGACCTCCTTTCTTGCCTATCCTTGGGCTTGAACACCTGAAGAGTGCACCTAGGTAGAATTAACAAAGCAACCCACGCTTCAATGGACCCGGGATGAGCAACCACCTTGGAAAGGGATGCTTTAAAAGCTTGAGAGAAAGCCATGCGACAACTACGAGGGATGCTTTTGACAGTGGTGATAGGTAGTTTAAAAATACGATCAAGTAGTTGAGCATCCATCACCAACCCACCGTTGAGGTCGGCTTCCGGTTCATTGGGAGTTGGCTTTGGAATGCCAACAATATGCCCGCTTATGTCATCAGCCCCGTCATAAAACTTAATCAGGCCATCCAGGTGGTGACATGAATGACTCAGGGCATGAAGCTTCATGCAATTCCCACATATCCATTGCCCAAACTCCTTCAAAGTTGCTGCCACCGCCATAAATAATCCATGGTCAGAAGTAATAGCCTCCCGTAACACAGCTCTACGTTCATCTGTATGGAGGTGTAAGCTCTTGAGATGAGACATCATACGTAAAATCCCTTTACTTCCAACAATACCATTTGGGCAACAGTGAAACCCACGAAAAGGACACGGCCAACTCCCGTTCTCAAAGGAAAGAGAGGATGCCATAAACACACAAATAAAGTTTATTTAAGACTCAAGGCGAGACCCAAAATTAGAAGCACTAACCCAAATGAAAATGTGACACTCCAACAAAAGGTTGGAGTGTGCACAATGAAACCCCGAAGAGAATCTCTACATCTTTTGGAATCTAAATTTGGCTACAACACTTGAAAACCTCATTTAGGCATTTTATCAAACACTTGGCGGGTAGGAAAGGAAACACTGTGTTAGCATCATGAAGCCTTAAATTTTGTATGCCCAATTGCAATCTATAAGAGGGATGCAACTAAGACACTAAATAAATGTTGAAGATGCTTAAATTTATGATTTCGAGATTAAATCAGAATTGTGAGAATTTTGTTTGGAATCAAAATTGAATGTGAATTTCTCTATTCTAAATATTGATACCACGTGAATCGGTTTACTTGCTCAAATCGGATTTGGAAAAGCGTCTCACAATCGGATAGACGGACTCGCTGTTTGAGAAATCCGAAATAAAAAGGGTCTCAATATCTAGTTAAAATTTAAAATAAAATAAATAGAATGGAGGTGGTACATAAGTGAGAAACCTCCCCATGACAAAGATGAACAAGTGAAAATCTTAAAAAGAACTGAACATTCGAAACTTGATTCCCAAAACAATTTTGCTGATGTCGATGAGAATTCAGATATTCTTAGCGAAATCAATGAAATTGAAGAAGAAAGTATTGATTGCTCTCAGTTATCTATCATTAATATCACATCTAAGATCAAAGGTAAATAAATTATTAATGATTCGATGGTTGAGGATGATATTGGAAAACCCTCTACTTCAAAAAAAATTGACTTTGATGATGTGGAAGTACGAGACAGTCAGACTGATAGTATTGATGACGAGGAGGACGAAGATCAAGCTTCAAATGTGGCTAAGGAAGAAAAGAAAGTTTTAAACGAAACTTTAATTCCAAGAGTTGTAGTTGACCAAGTGTATGGAGACACTGAAAAGTTGGATAAAGTGATGAGTGACAAAGGAGCACATTTTCTAGAAACTAACACAGTTGTATATCTAAATTTTACATGCACTCATAATGTAGTGTTTCCAAATCAAGTCTTCATCACCACTGGAAATTCAGAGAATATAAAGCCAGAATTCAACAAGTTGGCCGAAGAGGACAACAAACATTCAACAGGTGAAGGGTTCTATGCAAATCAGAATATTGTTGAAAACAACCTCACTAAAAATTTGTATGTTTTTCAACATCAGAAACCAAAACAAAAATGGGTTGTTAAATATGAAAAGGAAAATGAAGTTGTTACAAAAGAAGTTGTTAATTCAACTCCAATTGTGAAACTTAATTCAAATGAATTCAAAGAGCATGTTGATAAGTTTTTGAAAAATCATAAAGTTTCAAAGAGAAAAGCACGAAATGTAATTTTTTTGGCAAGTTGTGTCTAAGGAAAAATTTTCTTTAACCAAATCTAAAGTTTTAGAAACGAAAAACAGTGTTTCAAAATCCAACTCAACATATGTTGCAAAATCAACGAGTGTTCAACAGAGAATATTCAAAGAAAAACCAAGAAACACATCTTTTCATCATCCAATGAATTTAATATACACTTTTCCAATTAATCAAATGGTTGAATATGTTCGAAAATTTGAAAACATTCGAAAGTATAAGACTTCACAAAACGTTGTGAATGATCGAAAACTTAACAATGTTCGAAAATCATCGAATAGTCAACCACCTTTACACGAGGCTTTCAAATCATCAACAAATTTTACTCCATAAAAGCCAAATTTTCCAAATCCTTCAATCACAAAACCAACAAAAGTTTCAAGCACAAAAGAAAAATCAGAAGTTCATTCAATGAATTATTGGCTTGAGGGAAAAGGAAAAAGGTTTCAATCTGGAAAGTTTACTCAAGTCAATCAACTTAGCCTATTAGAAGTATTTGAATGAGTATTCAACTGGAAGTTTGTCTTCACAAGATTCAAATACTCTAATTCAGAGATGGAAACCAATCAACTAAGTAAAAAAAAATGAGAAGCTCGAGGTGCAATCTAGTGAAAATCCAAAACTATCGAAAATTACATTTCAATATCTTTGGAAAATGATGTTGATTTAATTGATAAAATCAAAACACAAGTTCGAACATGGGCTTTCGGTTCTAAAATTCAGTCTTCGTTTCAAGCTAATAACCAAGGACCCAAAAAATCCTTAGGTACCTAAATTTTTTCAATAATTGCAGGTACTTTGTGACGAACAATACGATAACAAATGGTACATTGATAGTGGTTGCTCTCGTCACATGACTAGAAAGAAAGAGAACTTGCGAGATTTTCGAAGCTTGAAAAATGCTGGAGTGGTTAAGTTTGGAAAAAAATCAAAAGTATCAAGTCAAAGGATATGAGAAAATAACGAATGGTCAATTTACAGTGAATTGGGTTGCTTATGTAGAAGGTATTCAACACAACTTGATAAGTGTATCATAACTTGTGGTGGGCACTAGTAATCAAGTACTTTTCAACGAAGAAGGTAGTATTATTTCGAATGTCAGCACAAACGAAATTTTGCTTAAATCCAAATGAAAAGGTGATATGTTTACATTAGACATCAATCCAATTGTGGGTAAACCAGCTATATGTCTACTTTCGAAAGCGACATCAGATCTGAGCTGGATTTGGCATCGAAGACTTTCTCATCTCAACTTTCGAAATATCAACAAACTTGTTGTGCAAGATTTGGTAAGAAGTTTACCTGTACTTACATTTGATAATGATTCTTTATGTGCAGCTTGTGAAGTTGGAAAACAACATAAGCAAGGTCATCCAATCACAATTGATTCGGATAATGTTGAACCTCTGGAGCTTTTACACATTGATTTGTATGGACCATTGACTGTATCTACTCTCAACAAGCAACAGTATATTTTAGTAATTGTTGATGATTTTTCAAGATTCACGTGGGTTTATTTTCTCAGGATTAAATCCGAAGTTTCACAAATCATGATTGACTTTATCAAGAAAATGGAAACGATGCTGAAGAAGATAGTTTGAAAGATAAAGAGTGATCATGGAACTGAATTTAAGAACAATGTTCTTGATTCGTTTTTGGTGGATAAAGGAATTTCGCATAATTTTTCATCTCCATATACACCACAACAAAATGGTGTTGTTGAACGAAGAAATAGATCTCTATGCGAAGCCGCAAGATCAATGTTGGCATATGCGAATCTTCCACAATATCTTTGGGCTGAAGCTGTATCTACTGCATGTTTTACTCAAAATAGATCTTTTATTCATCGTTAATTTAATATCACTCCATGTGAAATAATCAATAATAGAAAACCTAATGTGAAATGTTTCCATGTTTTCGGATGCAGGTGCTTTATTATGAATCTTAAGGACAACCTTTCGAAATTTCAAGCGAAAGCTGATGAAGGGATTTTCCTTGGATATTCGCATAATTCAGTAGCCTATCGAGTGCTAAACAAAAGAACACGAAAAGTGGAAGAAACATTCAATCTTACATTTGTTGATTATTATATCAAACAATCTGAAAAACATTTTAAAAATCATCCTATTTTGAAAGAAATTCCTAATTAATCTGAACTTATACAATCATTGGATATTGATTATGATTTGATTTTTGGAATTTTAGATCAGGTCATTGATGCTAAAATTAATGCCAATGACAATCACATACATGAATCAACGAAGTTCAATAATAATTTAACATCACATCATCAACCAATGGACGAAAGTATGCATATTAATCCAGTGGAGGGGGAGCACTTGAATTCGAACACTATTGTTGAGGGGAAGCATTCTTTTGAGGGGGAGAATGAAAGGATGAATGCTAATGTTAAGGGGGAGCAAATTGAACAAAATGAAGATTTTCATGATCTTAATGATGCATGTTCAACTGCTGGTTCAGAACATGATGATTTGTACGAAGATGCACCTTTAGAATTTGATTCAGCTTATCCACCAATGGAAAAATGGACAAAAGATCATCCGAAGGAGCAAATAATTGGTAATCCACAAGAAGAAGTCTTAACAAGAGCTCAAATTCGTGAGAAGAATGAGGTATTAAATACTCATCAAGAATTTTGCATGTTCAATGTCTTTATCTCTAAAATTGAACCAAAAATAGTTAAGATTGCCATGGAACACTCAGATTGGGTTGTTGCAATGCAATCTAAATTGTCTGAATTTGAACGAAATAAGGTTTGGAGATTAATACCTAAGCCAAATGATGTTTTGATTGTCGGGTTAAAATGGATTTTCAAAAATAAAACTGACAAAGATGGAAAGATTGTTAGAAACAAAGCCAGGCTTGTTGTTAAGGGATATTCTCAACAAGAAGGAATGGATTACGAAGAAACTTTTGCCCTATCGCAAGACTCAAGGCTGTTCGTATATTTTTGGCTTATGCAGCTCATAAAGATTTTGATGTTTATCAAATGGATGTGAAGTGTGCATTTTTAAATGGAGAGCTTGAAAAGACGGTTTATGTTGAACAACCCCCAGGTTTTATTAACAAAGAACATCCTGATCATCTTTATATCTTCGATAAGGCAGTTTATTGTTTGAAACAAGCACCACGATCATGGTATGCAACATTAACTTTATTTTTGAAGCAATCTAAATTTAAACAACGATCAGTTGATCCCACATTATTTCGATAGAAAGTTGGGAATCATCTAATGCTTGTTCAAATTTATGTCATTGACATTATTTTTGGCTCAACTGACCATGCCTTGTCTAGTGAATTCGAAAATTTGATGAAAAGCAAGTTTGAAATGAGCATGATGGGAAAAATCAATAACTTTCTTGGATTGAATATTCGTCAAAACAGAGAAGGTATTTTTATCAATCAAGAAAAATATACGAATAATTTGCTAGAGAAGTTTGGATTGGCGAATAGCACAAAGTTACGAGTTCCGATGACAATTGGCATAAAGCTGACACCTTCGTTGGATAAACCTACTGTTGACCTAACTCTTTACAGAAGCATGATAGGTTCATTACTTTATCTTACTGCTAGTAGACCTAACATCATGTTTTCTGTATGTAATTGTGATAGGTATCAGTCAAATCCATGAGAACCACATCTCACTGCTGTAAAGTATATATTTCGTTATCTTAATGGAATAATTTCGTTATGATTGTGGTATCCTTCGAAAACTGGGTTCTTTTTTCAAGCATATTCGGATGGTGATTTGGGAGGTTGCAGTCTGGATAAGAAAAGCACAAGTGGTGGTTGTCAATTGCTGGATGGCAAATTGGTGAGCTAGCAGTCGAAGAAGCAAACATGTGTCTCAATTTCAACTGCTGAAGCGAAATATGTAGCTACTGCTACTTGTACTTCACAAATCATTTGGATTCAAAGCCAATTACGGGATTATGCAATTAATATGAAAAAGATTCCATTATATTATGATTCTCAAAGTGCTATAAGAATTTGTCATAATATTGTTTAGCATTCGAAGACTAAACATATTGCTTTTCGTTATCATTTCATCAAGGATCATATGGAAGATGGAAATATTGAAGTGCATTTTGTGAAACCAACACATCAGTTAGCTGATATTTTCACAAAACCATTGGATGAAAAATCGTTCGTGAGAATTTTGGAAGGACTTGGAATGATCGACGGAAATTCTGTTCCAAGCGAAAAAGGAGACTGATGGTCAGAAAAAATTGGTTCAGAGACACGTCATCAAAGAAAAAGGTTACTGTTCATAGCCAACTCTTCAAATCCTTCATATTCGTATAATTATCATTTTCTTGAGTGTTTTAAATTTCGCATGTTTTCAACTTAACACAATTTTTTTTGTCTTCAAAATCAAAAATACCAAAAAGATTTTTTTGTTTTAAAAAATTCAAAAACAACAAAAATATTTTTGTTCTTTCTTTCTTTTTAGTTATTTGTTGCAGAATTTCATACTCAGTTTCTTGAAGCAGTGCTTGCAGTTCTAGGGTCAGGTATTTTTCGCACACATTGAACTAGTTAAGATGTCCCTAGAAGCATGCTGCAACATGTTGACTAAAGCCTCTAGATGACTCAATGTTCAAACGCCTTAATGAAATTTTCATACGAAGATTTCTTCCCAATCAGGATTACATTCACATTAGTCTTCTGAGCTACCTGACTCTCCTCACATGAGTTAAGAGTTTACTGTTTGGTCCAACATTACAGAGGTACATGTTCTTTCTTATACCAATCTTTTTCATCTCAAAATTATTACACTATCACAGACGAAGACATATGTCCAAGAGGTTTCTGATCAAACCAATCGAAAACTAGATATATCACAAATTTGTGTTTATGATCAGACATCATGAGACCGTGATGGAAGTGAAACCCAAATCAATGAACCTTTAAGGAATTGACAGAGAATGTTATTCCAGATTTTAACGAAACATTTGTTTTTGTACCTTTATTCGAAACTCCAAATCATATTCATTTCTTATGAGTGGTCTTGATCAAACATTCGAAACCCACGGTGTTTGTTACCCAACAGGATCCAGAATACAATTTTTTCTTGAATATGATTTTATTGTGAGTTTTATCGGAAATTCCATGTTACTTAAAAGTTTTTCAAAGCAAACTTGTCACTAACTACACTGGTCAAACAAGTAATTTTTGTTACAACTACTCACCTTATGTTTAGGTTGATATGTAACAAAATTCATTAAACCACCTCAAAATCCTTTTAAAAGAAGCCATTCGATACTTCTTTACAAGTATTCGATTGTAATTCATGGAAACATACACAAGCTGTTGATTATCTCTCTCTTGATAATTAACGAAGCAATCTTTGCTCGGGGTTTTAACTGCCTTCGTGTCCAATTGCATTTTTGACATCACTGAATATCCAAAAAAATTTAAATTGCTTCTCATCTTTATTCTTTGGCACACTACACAGACGAAATCCTTGAGGTTCCGAGTAACACCAACTCAGGCTGATGATTACAAGAATCTAGCAAATGACTTTACTTTGAAACCCTAAAGTAAAAGAGCTTTCCCTCCATCCGAAGGGTTCCGATGGTTACTATTCTATTGGGGCAAACAATCCAGCCTGTTTGAATTCTGTGTGGGTTTTGAAGAGACGTGACAATTACTTTATCACGCATGGTTACTTTTTCATCATCATGATGCGGTTTTCTTGGTGACACGTCACAGATCATTAAATGCTTATCACTCTCGGATTTCAAAATCAAGAGTTACATATAAAAAGGGGATTCAAGGGTTGATTATCAGTTTACGCTTTCATATTCCCAAATTTTCTATGATAAAAATCCAACTTTAAAACCCTAACAATGGCGACTACTAATCCTGATGCAACTCTGTCTCACACCACCGATGATGTTACCTCTTTACCAATAATGAAGATTTAGGGTACAAATTACCAAGTTGAAGCAAATGTATCTCTATATCCTGAAGAACTTAAGATGATTGTCGCTTCCTTGAAAAGCTTTGTATTATCTAAAGCCATGTTCAACTCATTTTCTGTTCCTCTTTCATGGTTGTCTCAAGCTGGATCAACAGCTACTTACTCGAAAGTGTTTGATGCAGTTCTGTTAAATCTAGTGACTGATAAGAAGGAAAGACTCTCAAAGAAGCTTTTCTGCCAAATTCTCGATATACCTAATTCTCCGCCATACATCACTTTTACATTCCCACAAATTATTCATATGTTCAATGAAATGGGTCATCAACCCCAATTGTCCAAGATATGTGATTTCAAGAAGTCAGGACTTCCAAGTGTTTGGAATTTTTTATTCGGTATTTTTCTAAGATGTTTAACTGGAAGAACCGTTGGGTTAGACAAGGGTAGAATAGAAGTTTATGCAATGGTCGCATGCTTATATTTTGATCTTCAAGTTGATTACTCTACTCAGTTATGAAAAGGGTTCTTGAAGAGTATTGAGAACATGAATGCTCTTCATGGCAATTCGTGTGCCCGATACTAGAGTTTGATTCTGAAATATTTCTATGAGAAGGAAGGTATTTTGGTTCTAGCAGATGAAGAAAAAGTTGTGTTCCATGTGTATAGCTGTCCGAAGGATGCAACTGATGATACTGAAGAGTTTCTAGTTTTTGCTCGCATTCCTGATGCCATGCTTAAAAGAGTTGATCCTACCAACATAGTTCTAATAACTTACTTGAAAACCATCGATACTTCTGTTGAAATTGGGGTTCTTTTGGCATGAGAAGAAGAGACAAAGTCTAAGCATTTGAAGAACACTGCTGCTGAATCTTCTGAGAAATCAGTCAAAGAATCTAAATCTACAAAGAGTCCGAAAAAGTTACCGATTACAAAATCCGACCCGATCAAAACCGATGTTTTTGTTGCTGATACTCCATCAACTCAGAAGGAAATAATTCCTTTGAAGACTGGTGTCTTTTGCAAAATCAAGATGAAATCCATACATAAGAGTCGATCACCTCTAACAAATGTTGTCCAAAAACCACAAGTTTCGCATCAAGGACTTCTCTTTCGTGAGATTCCTGCACCTGCTTCACCATCTTCTAAAAAGCAAAGGGCAACTGATATGGCCAAACACATATCAAAGAAGAAGAGGAAAAGTAAGTTGATAATCTCCTCTGAGTCTACTGCTGATGACAATGAAACAATACCAAAAACACCAGAAGTCGATCTTTAGAAAGACTCTTCTCATCCTGCATCAACTGATGTTATACCACTCGAAGCTTCGGTTGCCAATACAGTTTCTGAGGAGGCACGAACTTCTGACATTTTTGTAAACATATCTCATATGGATGCAAATGTCACAATAGTTGAGGATTCTTCGCATACAGGAGACAAAGGTAAAACTTCAGACGTTATCTCAGATATCATTGTTTCTTTACCTCCACAACTCACACCTATCATTCCTACTACACCCACCACTGATTCTCCTACCTTTGAACACATTATCAAACAACCATTTACATCTCTTTTTTCTTCGCAATCCACTGATCCACCTACCACAACTTCACCAATTCAAGATTCTTCTTTCATGGAAACTGAACATGAGTCCGAAGGTTTTAGAGGGACATTTGAAAATCTGGAGTTTGATGAAGAAGAAACTGACTTCCCAGATCACATGCTCATGACAATGAAACAATTCAAGTTATTGAATACAAAGCTCAAATCAATTCTTCAATCTCAGGTTGATCTTGGGGGAGGAAATTCAGCAACCAGTCTAGAAGTAGATGGTCTGTTAAAGATGCTTGAAGGGAGGATTCCTTTAAAGGTTTCAGGAATGATAAAGGATTCTGAGTCTCGTCTCCTGGAGAAAATTGATCTTTGTGATCATAGTAATGAGATGAGGGTCAATGCTCAGAAATCTACTTTTGAAGGTGACCTGAAAGAATTAAAACTGGTGGCAAAGGAACGACATGTTTTATATGTTCAAGATGTGAAGAAAGTGCGAAAAGATGTGAATTATAAACTCTAAGGCTTAGACAAGACATGGAGAAAGAGATTGCAAATGTTTGTACTGAATTTTCATTTCTCAATGAAAAGGTGGACATAATATGTGATGCAGTTACCAAATTTCCCAAGTTTTATGTGTTGGATAAGGTGTCTAAGTCCATAACTTATTTGGTATATACTTGACCCGACCGACATGGTCCATTTGGGTTGCATCTCATCCAAACTATTATGGATAATTTTATGAGAGTTATACACATATGTTTATTAATATATTATAAGTTATAATATATTAATATGAAGTTACGTTATTTAATTAGTTTTAGTCTTAAATTAATTATGAATTAATTTAGAGATTAAAAGGAAGACTAATTAGATTATGGGCTATTTGTTTTATATAGTGTGGGCTAATACTCATTTGTTAATGGGTTAGGCTTATGTGGAAGCCCATGGATGATCCATGGAGCTTTTAACCCATGGATCCTTGGAAAGGAAAAGACATGGGTTATTAGGGTTTCACCCTAACCATGCACACTATATAAGCATGCTTATGGAGCATGAAATGGAGCCTAAGGAAAAACTAGTGAACTAGTGTGTGTGTGCTTGTGTGTGGCCGATTTTATACAAGCCGTGTATACTCTCTCAAAGTTTTCCAAGAGTTTGTGGTGTTTTGTGATTCCATTTGAGGCATTCACACTATTGGTGCTTGGCCCTCAAACTCCTTAGAACCAAACTCATCAAAAGGTATGTAATCTCTTCTAACTCTTTTATGTTGAAATGTTCCCCATGCCATGTTAGATAGGTTATAAACCTTGGAAAATTATTATTTTGCATGTATTTAGACAAACATAGATCCAAGGTTTATTAGGGTTGCATGCACACTTAGGAAGTGTTAGATTGCTCAAAACCCAACAGTGGTATCAGAGCCTAGGCTTGCTTGTTTGATACTTGATGCAAGATAGTGACAAAAGTCGAAATCATTGCTGTCTGCATGGTGGACTCGCCGAGTCCATTGGGGGGATTCGACGAGTCCAAGGCAAACTTCAACCTACTCGTCGAGTAAGTTCATGCACTCGACGAGTAGGATCGAAAGAGTGCAGTTTTTTCCACTTTTGCTGCTGGAAATGGACTAGAAACATTACCCTAAACTGTTTTGATTTTATAAAAATTATTTTAGTTGGTGTAATGCTTGTTCTAATCCATTTACAATAGCATATATCAAAATTCCATGATTTTATGTGTTCATATAATTCTTGAATTTTTGATGATCATGTTCATGTTCTTATGAATTTAGAAAATGATAGGAATTATTTGCTGAATTGTTTAGGATTAATTCTTGATCATTTATGTGTTTTAATGGAGTCCATAATTTGTCCTCAAGTTATGGATTTCCAAAGGTCACTCTTATTTAACACACACTTAAAACACATAAGTTACATGAAAATGAAGAGTCTTCATTTTTATGAACCTTTAATTCATAAGTTATGAAATGAAGAGTTTTGCAAAGTTACAAAACTTGCCCTCAAGTTTTGGAATTTGTAAAGTTTCACACACTTTAATAAACTTTAATTCCAACCCTTAGAGTTTTAATAGTTAAAATTCAACCCTTATACTATTTATAACATTAATGGTTAATTATTATATGTATGTATAAGAATAAGTCGTTTTACCGTTAGTAGGCCTCATTCACGAAGCCGGTCTATAAGGTGGGTATAAGGTTGTTGCCTATAAAATGGCGACTTAATGGGTGTATACTCTCACCCATCGCTTGCTTAACTGGTAGAGGGTCGTTAGCCGAACGGGTAGAACAATGACTTTAAATCCTCATTAAAAGTATAATGATATTATAAAGTAACTAAACTCTTTAATTCCCAATCTTAGTTATTTTAGGAAAAATGTGAACATGGTGCTAGTCCATGGAATTCACACTTTGTACCTTACCAAGTCGTTGGTGGAGCGTGTGTGGTTAACCGGCACACTAACTAGGACTAGTAAGGATCACGAAGGGTGACTTAATGTTTGTCATAGATCAATGGAGCTGTGTGGTTAACCGACACATTGATTAGGTGATAATATTAAGGGTACCAAGTGAATTAGCATGGTTATTCACACCTTGTTTTGTGATCCTCGGCATCCCAGTCACAAAACTTGAAGGGCACAATCGAGATTGAAACATGCCATTGAAAAGTTCAATGAATCTCAAAAGAATCTAGGAATTTCAAATCCAATTAAACCTAATAAATCATTTCGTTTTCATGGTGGAAATTGGTGAATCGTCATTCACCTACCTTTCAAATATATTATTACTTAGATTACGGCATCCCTCTTCTAAGTATAATATATTGTGATTGGGTCCTAGCCTTAATATTACATTTGGGTGTCTTATTAAGGATTCTATATATCTAATCTAAACTACTCTCTTCTTTCAGATGTCTTCCAACACTAATGCTTCGGCTCTAACCCAACTGGTTCTTTCTCTCTCATGAATCTTTGTGGGAGGGTCATCTTTGATGGTTCCAATTCATGGATTGGATTAGGAACATCAGGATGGTTACTCGTTATGAGGACAAAAATATGTCCTCGATAAGGAGTTAAAAGAACTTGATGAGTCTACTGCTACTCCTGAGGAGATCGCTGAATTCAGGACTCATGAGAGAGATGCTACTAAGGTGGCATGTATCATGATGGCCAATGACAGCCGAGCTCCAAAAGTCGTATGAAGATTTCTACCCTTTTGAGATGCACCAAGACCTGATGGAAAGGTACCATCAGAGTGCTCGTCAGGAGCGGTATGAAATAATCTCCTCCATAATAACTACCCGCATGAAGGACGGTGAATCCGTCACGGGCCACATGCAAAAGATGCAAAGGTATGTGGACCGTTTGCTGAAGCTGAATGTTAACATCCCTGAGGAGTTGGCAATTGACATCATTTTGCACTCCTTGCCTTCTTGTTATGATCATTTTCGAATGACATATCATATGAACAAGGAGGAAGTTACCCTCAGCAAGCTTCAAGGACTCTTGAAGACCGCGGAATCCGGTCTTAAGGGTAAGGCGGTTGTTACCTCTACTACTCCTACTCCAACATCTACCCCTGTTTTAGCTATTGGGCAAGGCAAAGGGAAGAAGAGGAAGCACCCTTCGAAGGGTACCAAGGGAAAGTCTCTTGAAGGCTCCTCATCAAAGACCAAGAGCGGTTCTGTCACTCCTTCTGCCATTCCCAAGGATGCTGAATGCTTTTATTGCCATGAAAAGGCACACTGGAAGCGAAACTGCCCTAAGTACTTGCAGGATCTAAAGGATGGGAAAGTGAAACCCACCCATGCAGGTATTTACACTATATTGTCTAATTACTCAACATATTCTAACTCTTGGGTGCTTGATACAGGATGTGGTATTCACATATGTTCTGATTTGCAGGGCCTAAGAAGAAGTGAGAATGTGGAGCACGGGAAGATAAACTTGATCATGGGGAATAGGAAGGCTTCACCTGTTTCCAAGATTGGAGTTTATACTTTGTTGCTTAATAATGGGTTAAAATTAGATTTGAATAAATGTGTGTACTCGTCTGAAATGGCGAGGAATATTATTTCTTTTCATGCTTTGTACAAACAAGGTTTTACCTTTTCGTTTGATAATGAATGTGGTGGTATTAATGCTTTCTTTAATAATGTGTTTTATTTTAAAGCATTACCTTGTGATGGTGTGTATGAAACTGTGTCGATTGTAGACAACTTAGGAAATAACGTGTTGTATATTGATTCTTCTACTAGCCTAGATAAAGCATCATTGTGGCATTGTCGTCTTGGACATGTAAACAAGAAACGCATAGGCCAACTCCAAAAGAGTGGAGTCTTGGAATCATTTGACCTTAAATCAGATGATGTTGTGAATCTTGTCTACTTGGAAAGATGACAAAATCACCCTTCACTGGAACTTGTGAGAGGGGTGAGGGTTTGTTGGACCTAATACATACTGATGTATGTGGGCCATTCAAAACCGCAAAGGGATGCTAATCGGTATTATGTGACTTTTATTGATGATTTTAGTAGATATGGGTATGTCTACTTAATCAAACATAAGTCAGAAACCTTTGAAAGGTTTAAGGAATTCAAACAGGAAGTAGAAAATCAATTGGGCAGGAACATTAAGATGCTTCGATCCGATCGAGGTGGTGAGTATCTTAGTACCGAGT